CTTACCCCCCCCCCCCCCATAAATCAGTGCTCCTCTCTGCTCTCTCTGGATGTGGACGGACCCAGGTGGGTGTAGTCACTGGTTCTCCAACACAGTTTGAGGTAGGTGTACTTAATGACTCTCCAGCACAGTTTGAGGTGGGCGTGCTCACAGGTTCTCCAACACAGCTTGGGGTGGGTGTACTTAATGACTCTCCAGCACAGTTTGAGTTAGATGTATTCACTGGCTTTCCAAGAGTCTGAGGTGGGTGTATTCACTGGCCCTCCAACAGAGTTTGAGAGTTTTACTTCATCAAGAGGAAATATAAAGAACATTGAACTGACTGTGTTAATTGCTAGATAATGTTCTGAAGATTGTCAGGGTTATTCACAAAAGGGTGAAGAGTTTGGAGAAGGCCGGAGAAGTGAACAATCTAGGACAACATAGCTGAACTGGAAAGTGAGCTGAATTGGAGAATTTCTCCAAATCAGCTATGTTGTCCTAGATTGTTCACTTCTCCGGCCTTCTCCAAACTCTTCACCCTTTAGTGAATAGCCCTGTAGGTGTCTACCCATCACTACAATAGGTAACGTCAAAGTTTTTTTTGCTGTTGTTTGTTAGTATTGTTCTTTCACCGGACCTTGCTGACGTCTAAATAATGGAAACAACAAATCTAACCTCCGGCTTTATCCTTCTGGGCTTCTCCGACTTTCACTACAACCGTGCCGCTCTCTTCTCCACCATTCTTGTCATATACCTCCTCACATGGACAGCTAACTTAGTTCTAGTAAGTGCTATTAAACTTTCTCCACAGTTGCACACACCCATGTACTTTTTCTTGGGGAACCTGTCAGTAGTGGACATCTCTTTCTCTACAGTGACGGTTCCCAAGCTACTGTATTGCATTTTTTACGGAGGAGCCTCAATCTCCTTTCTCGGCTGTTTCCTGCAGATGTTCTTCTTCCTGTTTCTGGGCACCACTGAGAGTTTAATTCTGGCAGTCATGGCGTTTGATCGATATTTGGCTATTTGTAGCCCCTTACGCTACACCTCGCTAATGAGTGACAAGGTCGTGGTCATGCTGACTAGTAGCTGTTGGCTTGCAGCTTCTCTACATTCATTATTGCACACTTATATTCTGTCACAATTAGTGTACTGTAGGGACAGACTGATCCCTCACTTCTTCTGTGACGTGACCCCCCTCATCAAGCTGTCTTGCTCCAGTACCACACTAGCTGAGCTTTTAATATACACTGAAGGTTCTATGGCTGGTAACATTCCATTCCTTTTCATTCTCATCTCCTATGTGCTCATCACACGGGCTATAGTGAAGATGGAAGCTAAGAGCAGCCGAAGCAGAGCCTTCTCCTCCTGTTCTTCTCATCTCATGGTCATTTGTCTGTTCTATGGTACTGACATTTTCATTTACTTTCGCCCGCCATCAGACTACTCCTCCCAGTATGATCGCATTGTCAGCATGGCTTACACCATCATCACACCTATGCTGAACCCTTTTATTTACAGCCTAAGGAACCAAGATGTGAAACGGGCTCTGAAGAAACGAATTATGAAATGCTTTAACACCAAGATTGTTTTTCACAAGGGTCACGTGATCTTTTTGTAGTCATCTGACTCTAATCTTCAAATGTTACTGGACTGCACTTAAGGAAATGTCACTTATATAAAAATTAGCATCCCTATACTGGTGTGTTAGTGTTTTGAGACCATTGTCCCCGAATAAGTCTGTTTAATTTGAGGATCTTAAATTGACCATAACTGCATTTCATTTCATGTCTGTGAGTTGCGTTTATGTCTTTAAGACTAAAACATTCCTGACCACCCGCACTTTTCCCATCAGAATCTGCTGGAACATGCACATTTCAGGTATGCCAGCTGGACAGCTACTTCCAAACAAAGCTCTCACATCAACGTGTGCTCTGGAATAGACATCCTGACCCAAATATTTTTTTCCAACCTCTACTACACAATATGCATCTCAGATTAGTTACCTTAGATGATACTTATCCCCAACCAAACTTCATATATGAGGGTTATTCACTATAGAGCCGAAGGATCCAGTTGTAGCTTCGGCTGATCCTTCGGCTCGCTTCGGCTGCCTGAGCCCTTCAGTTTAGTTGAACCGAAGGGCTGCTGTACGGGCTATTCACAATATTCACAATAGCCCGTACAGCTGCCGAAGGCATATGCTTCGGTTCGACTGAACTGGGCTCATTATCTTCAACCATCTTGACTGGCTGGCCATGGATGCTGTAACCTATGTAAGAGAAGTAATTTATCTTGGCTTAGAGGTATGCAGAGGATATACACTGAGGCAGGAAGATGAGAAGGATTTGTTGCATGTGCTGTGACCAGCCTTTTTAGGCACCTGATTAAAAGTCATTCAACACAAGGCCACCATTGCTTTCTATGTGTTTATCTCACACTGACATGCCGCATTTTTCTGCATGTCACCTAAATGTCACCCTGGAAAAAAAAAAGAAAAAAAGGAAGACAGTGCCTTGTCATTGTTTAATGTTTTCTTAAAGGAGAACTATGAGGCGAGTGCTTTTCACTCATCTCATAGTTCTAGCCGACCTGTGACAATGAGACTGTCACAGGTCGGCTCAGTAGATCGGGAGGTGAGCGAACACATACCGGCGTTCGCTCACCTCTCGATCCTGTCCCGGCTCTCTGCCATGACAGGGGAGGGGCTGGATTCCCCCTCCCCGCTCCGCCAGCGCTGACTGGCGGAACGGACGGGGGAGGGGGCGGGTACAGCTGGCTCTGCCTCTAGATAGGCAGAGCCAGCTGTCAGTCACGCAGCTGGGCGGATCCCGGCACAATGGCCGGGATCCGCTTCAGCTGCAGCGTCTCAGTATACCGCGAGCTGTAGCTCGCGGTATACCGAGCCTAGGGTGACGGGATGACGCTAGTTTGTGTCCTCCCGTTACCCTAAGGAGAACTATGGGGAAAAGTGTTAACCCCATAGTTCTCCATTAATGGTCCCACCGCCAGCACACAATGGATACCAGGTCAAATGCTAAAATGGGTCGTTATAGGATGCAGGCTGATGTGAATGAACAAAGAAAACAAACACCGGGCGCCTTTCCTGGTGCAATGAAACCTTTTAATCAGTTAAAACATATACAAAACTATATATGTACTCACAAGGAGAGCAAGGAGATAGGCAGCAATTGATATATGTCCTCAGTGACTGTCCTGAAAAAGACGTAAATCAGAAGACAGTTCAGAGGATCCGTTGATCAACAGAATCACACAGACACAGCTAAACGTGTTTTCGAGGCACCCCCCCTTCTTCAGAGCTAGCTAGCGGATCAGGACAGTCACTGAGGACATTTATCACTTGCTGCCTAAACGGGTAGGTGCAGACAATAGCAGAACACCAGATGATCACAGACTACAAATCAGCCGGACTGGTTACAGTTCCAGCAACACTAAATTTAAAGAGCCACTCCACTTAGGGCGAAGGGGCTACACTACTACAGAGTTTAATAACGGTGTCACCCACTCCAGATGGATTCCTTGAATTGCATAAACAAATTATTATTGGGGTGTGTCTAAGAATCTCTCTTTTATTACAGCCTTGTGGCAGAAGTGGAGCACAAAATGTTATGGCGAAATGTATCCTCTGGTGTCCCTGAGAGGTATAAGTACATACTACATTCAACCCCCCCGTGTCATCACTTTCTGATCCATTGAAATGAAGACAAAGAAGTGTATTCTGGAAATATCATCAGACTGCTAACTACACCGCCTTCATTGACTGCTATTTACAACACCACTGGAATTCAGCAAATGCCTACAGAGCAATCAATGATAACTGAACTTTTATTTAAAGGGGCCAGATTGTGCCTCTTTAACATATTTTTTCCCAAAGAATAGTAATAATAAAAGGATTTAAGGGCTCATGTAGAAGGGTATTGTTGTCAAATGTTGCAGCACAGCACAGTGGCGTCACAAGGAGGTGCGGGGGGTGCGGCATTGGAGGGGTGACACCAAAATGACTCACAGTCATTTTTGTGTCACCCCCCTCTGAAAAGTCGGGCGCTCGGTCATGGACCGAACGCCCGACCGTATCAGGAGAGAGGAGGGGACCCGGCGGCATACCTTATCCC